ACCTTCGGTATGGTGGCGGGTTTGTGTGCCAAAGAAAGAAAAGGCATCTGCGAGGCGCGAGCCGTGCGGCCCCAAGAAGGAGAGAGCAGTGCCCACCTCGCACTGCCTGCCCTCCAGCGATGCGCGAAGCTCGCGACCGCCAAGCTGGCCAACGACACCGTCAATGCACTGAGCCGGGTAGAGCATCTGCGGACCCGCGTCCATCCCACACCAGTTGGAGCTCGCCGCCCAGCCACCGGCGGGCTCTGGCGGAGGGCCCGACGCGCCACGCTCAAAGTAAGTCGCCCGCGCACCGACCAAGGTTGCGTTGCCAGGAACCACGAGAGCCGCGCCCGGCAAAGACGGAGGAGCGGTGACCGCGCACGAGGTGCGGTGGAGGCTTACTGCCCGTCTCGCAAGCTGCCAGCGTAGCATGGTGATGTGGGGGTGTAAAAGCAAAAAACGGAAGGTGAACCGCGAAGTCGGAGGGGACGCGCGCCAAGTGATTGTCAGCACTATCGAAAAAGGAATTTCTTTACAGAGACTCGTACGTCCCCATGGCCGGGGCGCTGCCGCCCAGCCTAAGAGAGAGAGAGAGAGAGAGAGATTGCTACGCGCGGTCTTCCGCGGGGGGAGCTGCGTCGACGGGTGCGGGACCGCGGCGCAGCCAGTGCCGTGGCGATGCCTCCGGCTGTTTGCGGCGGGCGGCTTGCTGCTCGCTGCGATGGCGAAAAACTCGTCTCGCCACACGCCAAGGGCTTATGCTCTGGCGAGACGTGAGGCGCATGCGCCCAGGAGGGGAGGGGGCATGTGTAACGACACTGCTAGAGATGCCTTTCGGGGCCCAGAGATAAAACTTCTGTGATGCCATGCGTGACCTAGTAGTGTCCCCAGCTATGGGCGTGTCCACGTTGGAGCCAGGTGTGGTGTGGGCGCGAGAATAGCTCCGCCGTTCATGGAGGCAACCGATGCGAGTCGACTGGTGTGTGTCGTCGTGGTTTCGTATCAAGAATTCTCTCTCTCGCCCAGCCTAAGACCCCGGGGAACCCCAGTCCCCCGGCGAGGTCACCTTCCGTCGGGCTCTCCATCCTCCGGAGCGCTCCCTTGGCGGCTGTGGTTGTACCACCTCCTATGGCTGACCTCTCCGACGTGGTCGGAGCCGAGATTGACCTCACGGTCATCTCCGGGCGGGGTCTCATCCCCAAGGACGGCGGGTTTGGTTTTGGAGCACGGACGAGCGACCCGTACGTCGCGATCGCGGCTGTCCTGCCGGCTGCACGGAGCGGCCGCGGCGGGCACTGCGAAGAGCTCGGCCGCACGGCTGTCATCGCCAAGAACCTGAATCCGCGCTGGGACCAGGCCTTCAAGTTCCACCTCCACGGGCGCCGCTTTCGGGGCGACATGCTTTTGCGGCTGCGCGTGTGGGACTCAGACGCCATGTCGGCGGATGACCCGATGGGGGAGGCGGTCGTGCCGGTGGGCGATCTGCTCGGCGGGCAGGTGATTGAGAGGTGGTACGCTGTGCGTCCGTACGCTGGCTGCAAAAAGGCAAGTGGCGACCTTCAGCTTCGCATCTCGGCCGTGCTGCGCACGGCGCTCTCCGTCTCCTCACACCAAAGCGTCCGGCTCCCGCACGGCGTGCTCGGCGTGGGGTTGGGTTGGGACATGCTAGGAGACGGCTCCGCGATCGATCTGGACGCCAGCTGCGTGGCTCTCTCCGCGCAGGGCGACCTGGTGATGCGGGAGTGCTGTTACCACGCGCAGCTC